AGGCCCCCCTCAGCGGCTCGGGCGCCCCCCGCGCCCCCAGACCCCGGCCTCCAGCACCGAGGCGGGAGGCAGGGAGCAGCAGCAGAAGCAGGAGGACGAGGAGGAGGAGAAGCAGCCGTCGCAGGATGAAGGATCGGACTCAGGAGCTGCGGAGTGTGAGCTTGGGGGTGGGGAAGAATGGGGGGGCGGGACCCCAATATTTGGGGAGCGCGTGGGGATGGAGTGGGGGAGGTGCTGGGACGTGGGGGCGAATGATGAGACTGGAGGTTGGTAGCCAGGGCACCCCAATATCTCAAGGCACCTGATGTTTCCAGTGAACCTGCATTTTGGGGATAGTGGCTGGAAGGGGTTGGAAGCCATTAAGACATGAAGGGGCAGGAGAGGTCTCAGGGGCCTGGGACACCCCCCATTCCCAGGAGGGCCCTGGGGTCTAATCTGGGGATGTCAGGAGAGGATTGGAGGGTACTGTCATCCCCTATGGCAGATTTGCCAAATTAGAAGGATGGGGGCGGTTACCCGGTCAGGCTGAGAGTCTAGCAGGACCTAGATTTGGGGGATGCTATGGGGAAGGACACAGGTTGGGACTGAGATGCCAACACCTGGCAGTGAATGAAGTGTGTGCACACGCGCGTGCTGTTCCCCAAGAGAGGGGGCACCTCTTGGAGATGGGGAGGGAGGAGTGGCTCAGGAGACAGCCAGAGGGCCAGGCCCTGAGACGGGTGACCCTGGAGGTGGGAGCTGGAGATGCAGAGGAGAGGGGAGAAGGTTCCATGCACAGGGCTGGCCATGGAACTGGGTTGTGTGACATGGGTCGCACTCTGCCGGGGGGACTGGAGCATCCTGAGCAGTCAGGGGTGGGCGATGGGGGCCCGGGTCTGCAGGCCTGAAGAGGCCCAGCTCCGGGAGTCTGGCCAGGCAGTCAGTTGTTTGGGGAGATGGGGGAGGGCTGTGCTAGAGGTTGCAGTGGAGGCTGCTGTGGGTGGACGCTGCTATTTGGGGGGACTGGGGAGTGGGGCTTGATGAGAATGGTTTCAGGAGCAGGGAGGATGCTGGGGCACTTGGAGAAATGACCTGGGGCCCTAGGAGGCAGAGCTGACCATCGCTGTGTGCTCGTGGCCTGTAGTGTTGTTCATAAAGGTTCTAGCTCTGGCCAGTGTATCCTGATGCACTGGGTCCTTACCCGGAGTCTGTTATGGCCTGTAGTGTTGTACATAAAGGTTCTAGCTCTGGCCAGTGTATCCTGATGCACTGGGTCCTTACCCGGAGTCTGTTGGTTGTTACTCCACTTGACAGATGAAGAAACTGAGATGGCAAGGGACTTGCCCAAGGTCACCATGCAAGTTGGGTGGGGGGTCAGACTGGAATCTGGGTTTCCCATCTGTCAAGTCAACATGGGTCTCTGCTTTTTCAGTCTTTGAAACTCAAGTCTCAACACTGGATTTGGGGGTGGGGACCCAGGTCACAAAGAGATGAGGGAAAAGAGCTTGGAGGCAAGTGACTGCTATCTCTGGGGAAAGACAGGTTGGCAAGTGGGAAGAAAGGAGGAGCTGGTGGTTGAGGGAGGGAATTTTGAAGGTTTATTTCTTTACTAAACTTTTACTGAATATATGCTCAGGCATGAGGAAAATGACAGTGATAATAACCAATACTGTTCTAAGTGTTTTATATGTTTTAACTCATTTTGATCCTCACAGCAAGACCCTGTGAGGCTGGTATTAGTATTATCTTATTTTATAGATAAGGAAACGGAGGCCCAGAGAGGTTAAGTAATTTGATGAAAGTCACACAGCTAGTAAAAGGCAAGATTCACACCCAGGCAGGCTGGCTTCAGCATTGGTGCTCTACGCTCCCCTGCTCTCGTGGCGCAGTTTGCAAAGCAGGTTGCCATCCATAATCTCACTAGATTCTCACCAGCCTCCTGGAAAGGTAGGTGGACTGAAAGGCTACCTCATTTTATAGTTGGGGAAACTGAGGCTCAGAATGGTTAAATAACTTGCCCAAGGCCACACAGCTAGCATGTGAGGAATTCAAATTTGAACCCAGATCTCCTGCTGCCAAGACTATTCTGTGACTCCAAAACTCAGAGAGATGGGAAGTGCATTGGGGTGAGGTGATGGTGGAATTGTGGTATAAGCAGAGAGAGAGGGAAGGAAGAGGCTAAGACAGGGGTGAACGGGGAGGAGGGGATGGGGAGTCCTCATCTGAGTGAGTCAGGGCGCCCCTGCCCAGAGGTGAGGAATCCCATGGGCTGGGGCTGCTGGGGCAGCCCCACGGGGGAGGTGGGAGAGGGTGTGGAGGGGGAGGGGGCTGGGTGAAGACTGATGCTTTGATGTTAGTCACGCTCAGGGAAACTGGAGATTTGGGAGGGGGTGGATGGGGCAGAAAGAAGCTGCCAGATGCAAGGAGTAGAGGGGTCTCCCTGCCAGAGTTGAGAGTGAGGAGGCTGGGAGGCAGGAGAGACTCGGCAGGGTGTAGGGGGCCTGGGAAGGGGTCTCTGAGATGCTGGCGAGGACCCTGGGAAGAGAGGATGTTAGCTCAGGGGGCCCGATTGTCTTTTCAACAGTACATTAGAGTTCCCAAGGGGTTCCTGAGTCTGTTTATCACTAGTCGTTGAGGGAGGCTTGGGATCTAGACTGTCTGGATTGAAATCCTAACTTTGCTACTTCCTGTGTGACCTTGGGCAAGTTGCTTAACCTCTCCGGTCCTCATTTTCTTCATGTGTGAAGTGGGAGTAATAATAGTACTTGCTTCACAGGGTTGTCCCGAGGATTAAAAGTAGTTAATATGCATAAAGTACCCTGGGGGGAGCCTGGGGCACAGCAGTGCTCTGTTTGCTACTCCACCAATGACTTTTATTTCTCTTGAACGTCACATAAGCCTCCTTAAATGGGCAAGATGTGATCCCTAATTTATTCTGAAGTAAATTAAGGGCCAAAGAAAAAAAACTGACTTGTGCCCAACGCCACAAAACTCTTAATGGCAGAACTGGGTGGAACCAGGGTTTTCTGTCTTCAGCTCACCAAGTACCTTTGGTTGCAATGGGGAGTTAGTCAGCTGAACAGGTGTCCCAGCACCCAAAGAGTGAGGCCAAGGCTGGGGCTCAAGAGAAGAGGGGAACAAGTGATGGAGAGGAATGTTGGTTGGGGAGAGAGGCCAGGAGGGGCCCGGTGTGGGCTGGAGTCTGTAGAGTGGGAGGCAGGAGGCCTGGGGGGACGAGGAGACTGGGAGGAGCAGAGTGGAGGAAGATGAGACCTGCAGTGAGGGAGGCTAGAATTTGAGGCTGGACAGGATGGAGGCTGCTAAAGGACAAGTTGCACACCCTGAAAGCAGGGGTCGAGTCCCATGCATAGCCCTTAGGTATAGGGCAGGCATACTAGGTGCTTTAGAAATGCAGACCTGAAGGAATGGGATGAAAGAGTGGCCCAGTAGGCAGAGACCAAGGGACCCTGGGCGGTAGATGGGTTGACATCTTCCATGTAGTGCTGGGCTTCTTTCTGCCATTCAAACACATCAAGTCTCTCCCTGAATGAGGGCCTTCACCCATGCTCCCTCTGCCCAGAATGCTGTTTCCTCTTCCCAGAATGCTTTTCCCTCTGGCCAGAATGCTGTTCCCTCTGCCCAGAATGCTGTTCCCTCTGCCCTGAATGCTGTTCCCTCTGCCCTGAATGCTGTTCCCTCTACCCAGAATGCTGTTCCCTCTGCCCAGAATGCTGTTCCCTATGCCCTGAATGCTGTTCCCTCTGTCTTGAATGCTGTCCCCTCTGCCCAGAATGCTGTCCCCTCTGCCCAGAATGCTGTTCCCTCTGTCTTGATGCTGTCCCCTCTGCCCAGAATGCTGTTCCCTCTGCCCAGAATGCTGTTCTCTCTGCCCTGAATGCTGTTCCCTATGCCCTGAATGCTGTCCCCTCTGTCTTGAATGCTGTCCCCTCTGCCCAGAATGCTGTTCCCTCTGCCCAGAATGCTGTTCCCTCTGCCCTGAATGCTGTTCCCTCTGTCTTGAATGCTGTCCCCTCTGCCCAGAATGCTGTTCCCTCTGTCTTGAATGCTCTTCCCTCTGCCCTGAGTTCTGTTTCCCCCACATTGTGGCACAGTTGGCTCCTTCAGGACTCAGCTCAAATGTCACCTCCCCAGAAAGGCCCTCCCTGGCCATCCTGTATAAAGCCCCCCTTGATACCCATTTCTCTCTATCACATCTTCCTATTTATCCCCGTCCTACTATTTAGCACGACCTGAAATTACCTTGTCCATTTTTCATTGTCTGTCAGCTCCTGGGAGGCAGGACTTTCTCACCTGTCCTGTTCACCCTGTACCCCCAGCAGCACCCAGAGGAGAATCTGGTACAAGTCGTACACGTTCTTAGATGAATGAATGGCTCAGTGAGGCAGAGGGAGGATGAGGAAAGGGGTAGGTGGGTCAGGCAGGGAAGGTGGAGGAGAGCGGTCGGGGTGAGAGGGCTGGGCTGAACACCCGCAGGAGGGAGGAGAGACCCAGGCCAGGGAGACAGATGGACAGAAGCAGGGAGACAGATGGACAGAAGCAGGAGGAGGGCGCGGGGAGAGGCTGCTCCTCTAGATCAAATGCCTCTTGCACCCGGAGGAGCACGGGCGAGCACATGTGTCACACACACATACGCACACACACACGCGCGCTCTCTCTGTGACTTCTCTATCGCCCAGCTCCAGTCTCTTTCCGCCACTGTTTTCATCACCTCTCACCATCTGTCTCTTTGGTCACTGACTTGCCAACTTGCATTGTCCCTTTTCTCCTTCCTTTTATGTCTGTCCTGGTTGTCCCCCCATTGACACACACATGAGGGCCCTGGTGTCTTAGTGTGGAAGACCTGGCCTGGGGGGTCCTGGGAAGGCCACACTGAAGCTGGAGGCGGCCCCAGAAGGTGTCCAGAAGCTCTGCACCATCTCCTTTTGTCCTCTCAAGCGCTCAGGAGTGGGAGAGCAGGAGAGAGCAGAGAGAGCAGAGGCCTGGGTTCAAATCCCGGCACCCCAGCAGCACCCCATCATGTGTAATCTTGGGCAAGTTTACTTCATTTCTCTGTGCCTCAGTTTCCCCATCTTTCAGATGTGAGTAAGAATAGCATCTACCTCAGGGAGTGGCTGTGAGGACTAAAGCAGAAATGGAAAGCACTTGTAACAAGGCCCAGCTCACAGAATCGGCGTGTATGATGTGTTAGACATGTATAGATTATCATCATCCTCATTTTGCACGTGAGGAAACTGAGGCTTGAATTGTCCATCTGTAACCCAAAGCCACCATAAAGTGAATCAGGCACATTTGACCATTTTTTCCTAGATAGTCTCATTTGCCCGCAGGCTGCTTTCTTTCAGGTCGGCCTAACTTCTTCCAGAAATGGAGGCTGTGCTCATTGTGAAACACGCACACCTCAGAGCAGGGTGGGCCCTTGGTGACCACTTTCCCCAGCCCATCCACTGCACATATGAGAGAATGGGGGCCCAGAGAACAGCTGAGATTTGCCTAGAGTCACAGCAAGTCACATGGAGGCTGCAAAGCTTGGCTTCCTGTCTGGGCTCTTCCTGCAGCCGTGGGCCTTCTTACTGATTCTCTGTCCTGGCTACAGGAATTCAGCAGTACTGAGGACGCAGCAGATCAGGCTCTCTGGGGCCAGGTAGGAATAGAGGGACTGCCATCTGTCAGCAGGATGGTTGAGCAAGAGCCTGGGATTTAGCCCCAGATAGTCCTGGGATCAGGTCCCACTCCTGGCTTTATTTGCTGTGTTGCCTTAGGCAGGTTGGGCAACCTCTCTGAACCTGTTTCCTCATCTGTAACATGGCGGGGCAGGGGTTAATAACCAGCCCTCACCGAGCACTCACCTTCTCTCCTGCAGCATTAGGCATTCTTCCTGCCTGTCTCATGGCCTCCTCCTGACCACCATCTAGGGTAGACATTATTGCCTATATCGGCAAGTGCGGACACTGAGGCTCAGGGTGGGGGAGTTCATGTGGCCTTCTGGCTGCTGACCTGGGGTGAGTTCTTTAGCCTATGCCTCAGTTTCCTCATATGTGGAAGGGAGCTATAATACTATCTACGTCAGAGGACGATTGCAAGAATTAAATAGATAAATATATGCAGAGTGCACGGAACAGTGCCCAGCATGTTGTAAAATGCTATCCAAATGTTAGCCATAATTATAATTATGGTCCTTACAGAGTTTTAATGAAGATTAAATGAGATAACAAGTATGTAAGACTTATGCAAAAAGTACTATCGTGGGGGCTGGCCAGTTAGCTCAGTTGGTTAGAGTGTGGTGGTATAACACTAAGGTCAAGGGTTTGGACCCCTGTACTGGCCAGCCACCAAAAAAAAACCCAAACAAACAAAAATGATCATATTTTGCCAGGTTTTCAGGGCACAGAGCCTCACCCAGATCGGGCCTTAGCAGAAGCTGACTGAGAGAGAAAGTTATGTGGCAGAGAGTATCACTGGAAGGTGGTCCAGGCTGGAGCCTTGGGGTGGGCAGAAGCAGGTGTCCTGGATTCTCAAGGTTCCCACCCATGTTCAGCCTGGGTGCCCTTGGGCAAGGCACTTTCCTTTTCCCCTCTGGCCTCCTGTTCCCTCATCTGTGAAATGGGGACAGTGATGTTTGCTCAGCTTTTCTCACAGAGTTATGGTGGTGAGGATCAAAGGGGATTACGGATGTGCAAGTGTTTGTAAACTGTAGAGGATTATTAGGTCTCAGCTCTCATTGTAATTATTATACCAAATAAATCATACTTGGGCCTGCTATCTTCCTCTCTCAAGGGCAAGTAAACAGGTGGCCCAGGATGCTCCAGGGAAGGATGTAAGGGAACAACAGGAGGGACAGAAATTAGACTTTAGGAAGGACTTCCTAAAGCTCACAGGGGGAAGGGAAAGAGACAGAGAACAGGAAAGTTCCCAGGCCCCTGGACCCATAAGAGGCCTCATGACATGTGTGCAGCTGGGCTGAGGGCTGAGTGAGTGTTGGAGGCAGATAAGGGCAGAGGAAGGCTTTGGGCTCCAGGGAAGGGAAACCTCATAAGGCAGCTGGTTTTTGAGGACAGAGAAGGCAGAGAGCAGCATGGGAGGCCGATAGTCTCAGAACTAAGCCCAGCACCCCAGAGCTTCTCAGGGCCAAGGTCTATCTGGGGTGATCCTGAGCCAGGTGGAGGCTCGAGGAGCCAGAAGTCCTATCAGGGTTCCTAAGACCCACCCATGCCACCTCTCCTTCTGGGGACAGCTGGGGCCCAAGACGGAGGATCATCCCTTTCCAGGCAGATATTTGGGATTGTCTGGAAATTAAATGCAAGTGCTGAACACATTTTCTGGTGTGGGGCCCAGCATCTGTGTCGAGAATCCCTGGAGTTCGGTCTGGGCAGGGCTTAGGCGGGAAGCTGGGGAGTGCTTCAGGAACGTTTAGCTGGAGGTTTCCTCTGGGCTGTCTGGGCTCTTCCCGGTGCTGTTGGGTTCAGCTGATTCCGGGTTCTCTTGGCTCTCTGGGTTGCATCGAAGGTCCCATCTGGCTCTGTCTAGGTTCGATCTGAGCTGTCTGGAATCTGTCTGGGATCTGTCTGAGCCTAGTCTAGTTCTGTCTGAGCCTGGCTGGCTTCTGTCAGGGCCTGTCTGTGTTCTGCTTGGACCCTGTCGACCTCTCCTCTTTAGATCCTAACTGGCTACACCCCCAGGTAGATGTTCTTTGGATCCTGTCTTGATTTCATTCCAGCTCTGTGCTTCAATTCTATATGAGCTCCAGCTAGATTCTTTCTGGAAATTAGGATGAACTCTGTTTAAATTCCCGCTGCGGCTGATTAGGGCTCCAGATGTAATTAAGCTTGATGGGCTCAGGTTTTGCCCTGAGACCTCTGTCCCAGGCAGAAAAGAGTGCGGAGAGAGGACTGTGTGGCACTGGGAACCCTCCCTGCCCCCTCCTCTTGCCCACGTCTGAATGAGTGTGCAGGCCCGAGGCTCGGAGAGGCTGAGGACAGACCCAGAGGGCCCTCCTGAATGTCCCTGAGCTGCAGCCAAAGGCCTGTGTGTCCGCACGCGTCACGTGCAGCTCTGCCGTGGCTCTGTGTGCGGGCGAACGGCAGCATGTCAGTGTATCTGCGTGTGGGTGTCAGAGCCTATTTCTGTGGCCTGCGTGTCAGCTCTTCTGTCTGTGCTGCTGGTCTGTCTGTCGGCGGCAGTGGTGGTGTGGGTGGGTAGATCCCTTTGTGTCTCTGAGCCCTGCGGGTGGAGGGCTGAGCAGCTGCAGGTTGCAACTGGGAAATCCAAGCAAGCAAGAGTAGGTGGGTGTGAAATGGAAGGGCTGGTTGAAAGCAAGTAACTACACCAGGAAGGGTCGCAAAGGGGGAGCAGGAGTGGGTGGAGGGGGAAGGCGGCACGGGGGAGATCAGGGCGCTGCTTTTGTCCCCCAGCCCTCACCGGCCGGACTGGGCTTGCTCAACTGGGCTCCTGCCGCTGGCAGCGAAGTGACCTTGCTCAGGGGATGTGGTTGGTCGGTGGGGGAAGGAGAAGAGGAGAACGAGCATAAAGTGACGCCTGGGCAGGAGCAACTGGGGGGCGGCAGGAGGTTCAGGCTCCTAGGACTCCTTTCCAGAACCCTTATTGGAGCCCAGAGCCAATTACTGCAAGGCTGGCATTTACGTAGTTGTTAAAATATTGAAATATGCCCATACTGGTTGGTTAATAGCAGCTGCCCTGAATATCATCCTCCTCCAGGGTGACTCTGCACCCACAAGGCCACATTCACCCCAAAAGGGTGTCTTTTGCTAATTCCCTCCAAGGTGTCCTTTGGGCTATCAGCTACCCTGGCCTCCAGGTCCTTGTTCATTCTGACTTTTGGTGCCTTTGCCATGCCTCCTGCATGGGACTTGTCCCAAGTCCCCTTACATATGTGTGGTAACAAGAGGGCCACAGAGCTAGAGAGCCAGCCTTGGGGACCAGTATACGGACTGCTCATGGATTCAGCCTTCCTTTGCCTCCCAGGCGAAAGACAGTGATGATGAGGAGGAGGTGGTCCACGTGGATCGGGACCACTTCATGGATGAGTTTTTTGAACAGGTAATGAGTCCCCAGTGCCCCCAGACCCAGAACCCAGCCCCTAGCCAACAACTTCCTTTTTGCAGTTCCCCACCCCCACCAACTCCTGCAACCTCCTTGGCCTTTTATCAACTCTCCTGGGTCTGGCCCATTTGCCTGAAGCCCAGCCGATTCCCCGGATCCCCTTGTCTGGACTGACAACTTGGCTGGGTATGGCTGGTTTTCTGCCCCAGGTAGAAGAAATCCGGGGCTGCATTGAGAAGCTGTCGGAGGACGTGGAACAGGTGAAAAAACAGCATAGTGCCATCCTGGCCGCCCCCAACCCAGATGAGAGTGAGTGCTGCTGCTGCTGGCTGGGGGTGAAGGAGGAGGGGTCTGGGGTCCCACCCAGACTTCTCACCTGCCCTCGCCCTCCCCTCAGAGACCAAACAGGAGCTGGAGGACCTCACTGCAGACATCAAGAAGACGGCTAACAAGGTTCGGTCTAAGTTGAAAGGTGAGGAGTGCAATCTCTCAATTAGGGAGAAAAATAACTCTGCCCACAGTTGACACAACAGGCCTTTCTATAACGACTGTCAGCAAACTTCCAGGGGCCAGATTCCTAAACAGCAAGAAAGCACAAACTGCCAGATATCCCCCCTTGATCCAGATTCTTTGGAGAAATATACATGACAGGGAAATGAGGGAGAGGAGCCTTTCTGTCCAGATCACATCTGCACCCTGCTGGTTCCATCAGCATGAAGGTCCACCAGAAAAATATAGTCTCCAAGTGGCCTTGGTTTCATAAAGTCCTCATTTCTCCTGAGCAGGCACCCGTCATAGCTCTGAGCACCCAGTAGGTGGGCTCAGCAAATGCCTCTGAATTGGTATCCTTGTCTCAGGACAGATTGGACCGTGTGGCTGACATCAGAGGCTGGCAAGCTTTCAGGAGGGGCTTGCCAAATGCTCATGTATTCACTCTAATTTAAGGACTTGGGTGCTGATAATAATCACCTTTCTCCAAAGCATTGTGGGTTGGGAACCTCCTTGTTTGCTGGTGCCAGGGGAATAGCAGCGTTACTGTGCTGCTGGTTTGTATGCTTATGGTTGTTCAGCATCAGAAAACATTTGCCAAGCACCTACAATGTCCGAGGCACATTGCTAGGCTTTGGGGAGAAGGAGCTATATCAGATGCCTGGACCTGAGAACACTGACCTTGGTCCAGGGGATGAAATGAGAACAGGAATTCCATGCCCTCCTGGACTCAAGAGGAGGCCATATATGAGCTCTGATGCTGATTTGTAAAAACAAGTCCTTTGCACTCAGGAGAGTGTGCTGGAATGGAAAATAGCCTAAACCGGGAGCACATGGAGTGCAAATTTATGTCCAACCTTCACTCACTATCAATTTTCTCTGGGCAAGTCCCCTACCCTTAGCTTTCTCATCAGTACAATAAGATAAATTGAAGCAATTTAAAAACTGGCTTTTTAGGGCCGGCCCATGGCTCACTTGGGAGAGTGTGGTGCTGATAACACCAAGGCTGCAGGTTCGGATCCTATATAGGGATGGCTGGTTAGCTCACTTGGGAGAGCGTGGTGCTGACAACACCAAGTCAAGGGTTAAGATCCCCTTACCGGTCATCTTTTAAAAAAATTAAATAAATAAATAAAAACTGGCTTTTTTTTTTTTTGCCAAGTGGGAGCAGCAAAATGTTTTTTTCCAAATGAAATCTTACAAAGAACCCAGTGTATAAAAAGCTCTGGCTGAACTGGTGTCGGGAAGTCCCACCTGTCTGGCCTCCCCTTCACTCGCTGCAGCAGCCCTGCACTTCCGTCTCAGAGGCAGGTTCCTCCAGCACACAGTTTAAAAATCCCTGGGCTCAATGGTTTCTTTGGGTCCATTGGGCTCTGACCTTGAACACTCTCTGTAAAACCATGAAGAGGGCTCTGTGGTTCAGGGGTTTGGGAATAGACCCAGAAAGAACTTAAGAGAAGTGGCAGTGGCTTAGAGAAGCTGACTTTCCAGACCTGCAGAAGAGGAGAGAAGATTTTCCTTTTTTCCGTACTCTTCTGGTCAGTAGTATGAGCTGGTGGTATGAGCTCAGGCTTGGGCTCTGACCTTGAATGAGCTGTTTTACCCACTTGAACCTGTTTCTGGTCTGAAACATGGGCTGATAACACTGAACTCCCAGGATTGTTGTAAAAAGCTAGTGAGATCCTGTAAAGGACCCCTCCCTCCAGACTTGGCCCCAGCCCCAAGTCTGACAATAGGGCCTCAGTGTGGGCCAGCAGATTCCCGTATCTCTGAGTGTTTGTGTCCCTGGGCTTTTCCTGCATCAGCTGGGCCAGAGCTGTCACTCAGTCACTGTGCCTGCCATTGCTGGCAGGGGAGCCTCGGGTGCCATCCCTCCCCGATGCCTGCAGAACGGAGAAGTGATAGTCTCAGGAATGGCCCACAGGCCCTGGGAGGTCTGAGAGGGCTTGGTGATTCATCCCTGCTGCATTCTGATCTTGCCACAAGCTCTTTTTTAGAAAATCTGAATGATAGTGTCATGAGTGCATGATCCAGAAGCAGAAATCCCAGTTAATCAGTGCACTTTTCCAGAACATCCTTTAGAAGTGGGAATTCCCAGTATGGCTATCACCTTGCAGGGCAGGGGGAGGGCTGTTTTCTGTGTTGGAATATCTATCCATCCTTCATCCTGGAATTCTCCCAGGCAAGGGTGGTCACTAGAACCTAACCCACCTAGAAGTGCCTGCCTTCCACCCAAAAAATCGCAGGATGGGTTCCTGCCCCCTGTCCAGGGGCTGTAGGAGGTGGAGAGTCCCCCACATACAGGGCCCCTCAGGTGGATGGGCCCACACCCCCGTCTGGGATTGGGCAGGAGTTACAGCTGGTGGGAATTTCCAAGACCCAGTCCTTCCACCAGAACAAATAGACCCCTCTGTCTTGTGACCGTCTGACCCTCAGCCTCCCCTCCCACCCACCTTCGGGACCCCCTCTAACGTCTGTCCTTTTATTTACTGGCCTCCTGCCCCTTCACCGTGGATCCTCTACTGCCCGCCCTCCGCATGTGCATGACATTTCTTCCCAGGCCTGGGGACAGTCTCCAGGCGTCGACCCTTCCTACGCCCCGGACCCCCGCCCCACACGCCCCGGGTCTCCCGCGCGTCACTGCGCCCTCTCTCCCACAGCGATCGAGCAAAGCATTGAACAGGAGGAAGGGCTGAACCGTTCCTCCGCGGACCTGCGCATCCGCAAGACTCAGGTAGGCGGTGGCGGCCCAGCGCGGGCGGGACCAGCCTGGCTCGGAGGAACCCGGGCAGCAGGCGGGTGGGGTCCTGGGCCCGAGCCGAGCAAGGCGCGGAGCGGGGCTGTAGGAGAGGTGGGACCCGGCCACATCTTAGTGCCCTAACTGGGTCGGGCGTAGGATGTGGGGACCCGGGGTGGGGGTAGGGGACTGTGAACTTGTGGGGCGTCGGGACTGCAGGCCGAGGTGAATAAGAGGACGTAAACTAATTCAGCCCGTCCTCCCCTCTCCATCCGCCCGCCTCCGTCTCTGCTCTCTGGTCCCTAATGTGTCTGTCACCCCCACCCAGCACTCCACACTCTCCCGGAAGTTCGTGGAGGTAATGACCGAGTATAACGCGACCCAGTCCAAGTACCGGGACCGCTGCAAGGACCGGATCCAGCGGCAGCTGGAGATCAGTGCGTGTGTCCCGACCCCACGACCCCCCCAAACCGTACGGAACGGCCCACGGCCCCCGGCCCCGTCCAGGCCCTTCCTCTGTGTGGAGGGGGCGCCTGGCCTAAGGCCGGTTGGAGGGTGGCTCCCGGGCCCCCGCCCCGGCCTGGCCCAGTCCTTGAGCAGGGGTCCTTTCTCTTCACAGCGGGGAGGACCACGACCAATGAAGAACTGGAGGACATGCTGGAGAGCGGGAAGCTGGCCATCTTCACGGACGACGTGAGCCGGCTGGGGGCGGACTCTGGGTTTGGAAAGCATTTGCCTCCCCCGCCAAGCTCAGGTTGAACCGAGGTCCTAAGTCCACCCTGGAATAACAAGCAGCGGGAAGCCCGGACCGGGAACTGGGGAATTCCGTGGGAGCAGGGCAGGAAGGCATCTTCGTGAGGATGGCCAAGGGTGGCGCGCCAGGCACTGTGCTAAGCACTTCCCATATTTACATGTACCTCCTAACTCATTTACTCCTCGCCACAACCCCGCGAGGGAGCCCCGTTTCACAGCCGAGGAAAACTGGCCCAGAAAATAACTTGCCCAAGGTCCCCGAGCTGGGACAGAGCCAGCATTTGCATCCACAGGGTAGTTTCAGAGTCAGAACTCTTGGGTCCTCAGATACACTATGCCCTCCCCTGCCGAAGTGGGTCATTTCATCATATGACTAATGTGTGCCTACATTTTGAAATTTTTTAAAAGAACAGGTTTTGGTTTTGCTTAAGTTTTGCATACTGCCCTGCCCTTGTCATTTTATATGTGAGTGGATGGGCTTTCCCCTAACACTAGTTCTTCTTTCTCTTTACGAACTTTTGCCCTGGCATGCCCAGTCCTGTCTCTGTTTCTGCTTCTGGTGGCAAAATGGCCCTGGCTAAGGGTTCTAGACCAGGTTTAAAGTATGCTCTGTGATTGTCTTACAGTTGTTATTTAGGTAATTGATCTTTGTTGAATTAGCTTTGAGCAAATTGATTATGGGCCAGTTCATCTGGGGTCCCCCAAACGTCTCTGCTCAGGCCGTCTGTCCGTGTGAGAATGGAGGGAAGCCTGGTGGGTGTTTCCAAGGGAGCCACTTCAATGGACAAGAGCCAATCCCTGCTCACTGGCCCACCATCAGTACAGGGGAAACCTATCATTACAATGCAGGGTGGTCGGGATGTTGGCTGAGGACTGTGCCAGCTGAAGATGGGCCTGAAGTGGTAGTTGAAGGTGATTAACGCTGGAGTCAGGGAAGACTTCCTGGGGGAGGTGTCATTGAGCTGTGCCTTGAAAGACAAGGAGCTTGTGGACATGGGTGAAGGACACTTCAGGCAAAGAGGACTGGGAGAGAGGACCACTTGCCAAATGGCCATTGGATGATTTGGGCTCTTATAGGATGAGCAGGAGATCAGGGCAGAAAGGGAGACTGCTGAAGTGAAGGTGTGTAGCTTTCGGTAGTGGGGAGCCCTGGCAGGTTTTAGAGCAGAGGACTGGCTTGATGCTGTCTGAACTGTTTGGGAAATGAGTGGCCTGAGCCAGACGAGATGTGTGTTCTTGTGGGTTGGGTTCTGAGGGCCGCAGTGCATTTCTGTACTATCTGTCCCCTGCCCCATCTCAGGCAGCTGCAGGTCACTGTGGGCACACTGCCTTCCCATCAGGACCCCGCTCTCTGCTTGCTGTGCCCTCCCTGCTGCTCCTTCTTCCATCTCCCTGCCTGCCTCTGACCATCTCTCCTCCCTGGGCTGCCCTGGCGTCTATGACAGAAGAAGCCCTGGAGCAAGATGGTGGGCTTGGACAAGTTTTCTTTTTTGTAATTTAACAAACTTCTCTTTAGTACTTACTGTGTAATCCATGTACACATATGAACTCACTCCATTTTTATGACAATCCTGTGAGGTGGGCACTGTCATGACCCACATTTTCTTGGTGGGGAAACTGAGGACAAGAGAGGTTAAATAATTTGCCCAGGGTTACAGCTAGTGAATGACACTTGGACTTGACCCCAGATGCTCTGGCTGCAGAGTTGAAGCTCTTGTGGGGGTGAGGAGTGGTCGCAGCTCTTTCCCCTCCATTGCCCTAGATCAAAATGGACTCGCAGATGACGAAGCAGGCGCTGAATGAGATTGAGACAAGGCACAACGAGATCATCAAACTGGAAACCAGCATCCGCGAGCTGCACGACATGTTTGTGGACATGGCCATGCTTGTGGAAAGCCAGGTACTGGCTGTGCCACACCAATTGGGAGCTGCCCTGGGCCCCGAGCTTCCCCGCATCCCTCCATGTGCCTCTCTGTCTGCAGGGCGAGATGATCGACCGCATTGAGTACAACGTGGAACATTCCGTGGACTATGTGGAGCGAGCTGTGTCGGACACCAAGAAAGCTGTGAAATATCAGAGCAAGGCCCGGAGGGTGAGCAGGGCCCGGGGCCTGGTGGGTGCGGGGGCGGGGCCTGGTGGGTGGGGCTGGGCTCAGGCCAGGGCCTGCGGTGAGTTAAGAAATCGGGTGAGGGCCGGCCCTGTGGCTCACTCGGGAGAGTGCGGTGCTGACAACACCAAGGCCACGGGTTCGGATCCTATATAGGGATGGCCGGTTTGCTCACTGGGTGAGCGTGGTGCTGACAACACCAAGTCAAGGGTTAAGATCCCCTTACCGGTCATCTTTAAAAAAAAAGAAATCGGGTGAAAGGACTTATCTCTGGCTCTGACCTCTTCCTATTTCTGTTTTCCTCCCTTCTTTTCCTTCACACCCTCCTCCCTCATCTTTTCCTCCATCTGTCTGTCTGTCTGTCCGTCTCTCTCGCTCTCTCTCTGCCTCTCTCTGTCTCTCCTCTTTCTGTCTGCAGAAGAAAATCATGATCATCATTTGCTGTGTGGTGCTGGGGGTGGTCTTAGCGTCATCCATTGGGGGGACGCTGGGCTTGTAGGCCCCCCACCCTTCTCTCTCCCAGACCCCTCCCCACCACATTGGGAGCAATACCCCCACCACCCCTTTCACTCTATCCTCTGCTCCAGGCTCACCCCCAAAACAGACCCAGGCAGCCCCCTCCTTGACCCCCACAGCAGACCCTGGAGTCCCTGGACCTCCCCCTGCCATGGACCACCCCTGCCCCGCACGTAGATAGCAGCAGGCGTGATTACACATGCACACCAACATGCATGCCGCCGGCACATGCTCGAGACGTGTGGACATCCCAGTGTGTGTGTACATGTGTAGATGTGTGTAGATGCTCCACCCCTTTCTTGCTCCCCACCTCAAGTCTGGATGTGGTCTGAGCTCCCGGCTTCACTTGGGTTGTTGTGTAGACTGTGGCCGAGTATAACACAGCAGCCCATCAGGGCCCCCTCTGTCTTCTGTGAATAGGTGTGTGTGTGAGTGTGGGCGTGTGCACGCATGTGTCTCCAGGATGTGCCCGAAGTGTTGACAGGTCTTCTCAGGTGGAACCCTCTACACTGTGGACTGGACACCTGTTTGGGCTGGGCACAGAAATCTTTGTTACTATGCTACCTGTAATGAGGTCGTGGGAGTGTGTGAGTGTGTGTGGAGGGGCTATCTACACAGTGTGTTTCTGCCCCTTTGTATTCCACATACACACACGTGTTTATCTTTAGAGACGTGTGCCCCATCCAAATTGTTTCTCCAGATTTATTTGCCCCTCTCTCTCTCCCAGAGCTGCTGTCCCCCTGGTATGACCGCACACGGTGCAACATCAATCTTGTGCACCTGGAGCGCCCTGCCTGGCCAGGCCTCGGGGTCCCTGTGCACACATGCCCAGATCCTTATCTCTCTGTGTCCATGCCCGAGGATCAGCCCAAGTCCACAAAAGCTGGTGCACCACAGTGTGCACGCACGCCAAGGCTGGGGAGGGCCCGTGGCGGTGGCCACGCCCAGGGCGCACACACACACTGGAGCACATGAATGCCTCCTGGAGGGCTGCTGGTAGGTCTGTTATTGACAAGGCAAGATGTCCAGAGTGCCCCTCCTGCCACCCACACACTCACCTCAGACCTGGGAGAGGCCAGTGTCTGTCCCTACTGCCCCATCCAATGCTCTGGGCTCTGACGGCCTCAGGGAACTTGAGTTTGGGAACTGTTTATTTCAGACATACTGGAGTGGCCAGTGTGGCAACAATCACTCAGGGGGCCAGGTCCTGGGACCTATCCCCTGAACACCTGTCCTGCTGAAAGGTCAGCAGTGGCTGCCTACGGCACCAGGGTGAGATGGGGCAGGGCACAGGACAGGGCTCTGGCAGTGGGGAAAGGGTAGCTTCTCTCTGGTTGTGTTTGGTGGCAGGTGGGAGGTGCATGGGCAAAAAGACAGTGTTAGAAGTCCCCCCTCCATGGTCGAGGGACATGTGGGTGAACACACAGGAACATGAATGTGCCCCACCCAGGGTTGGGGCCCATGTGCACAGGTGGAGGGCTCAGGCATGTGTGTGCACGGTCCCAGGTCATGTGAAGTGTGTGTGTGTGTGTGTGTGTGTGTGTGTGTGCGCGCGCGCGCGCGCGCGCACCGGCCACACAGGTATGAACTCCTGGCACACCCCAGCCCAGCTCAGACAGTCACCCTCCTCCGCACGTGGCTGTTTGGGCCCTGTCTGCCCTGGCCTGTGTGCATGTCAGTGTGGCCATACGTGTGTCACCCCCAGGTCAGCTGTCCTGAGCAGGGGATCTTGCCTGCCTGTTCCCAGAATGCCCTTCCACAGGACAGGAAGTCTGCCCGGGGTCTGGCCACAGCCTTCCTGCTCCTCCTCAGGCTTTGGTGACATCAGAGCAGGCCCCAATATCCAGCCCATTCTCCCTTCCTGCTGCACAGCCAGGACCCCCTTTGAACCTAGGTGTTTCTGGAAGTCCCACAGCCTTGGGGCCAGAAGGAGAAGGGTGGAGCTGCGGCTGGGTGGCACTAGGCCCACCACTGCCCATCTCTGGGCCTCAGGTGGACCAGGGGATCCCCAAGGGGCTGCTGTGCCCCAACTTTCTATGAGTCCCACACATTGCGTGATGTGTTTGCGTGTTGGCTGTCATTGTCTGTGTGTCCCAGAATGTCATCTGGGGTCTGGTGTCTTTTGCATGTTCTTGGACAAGTGTGTGCTGCCCGCCCTCCACGCACTTCCAGCCGGCAAACCCACGTGTGCCCTGCGGGTGGTCCCGGGCCTGGCCAGGGCTCAGTGCTTCCCCACCCCGTCCCCCACCCTGTCCCCCACCCCTGCCTCTCATAAAGCACACTGCGTGTCCATCCCATGTGCCTGTGGGGCGGTGTGCGCTCTCGCCATGCCTCGAGCTGTGCACATGACGTGTTCTATGCATTCACCCTGCCCCCTGCCTGCCCCGCACAGGACCAGATGGGTGGCCCCCGGCTCCTCCTCCTCCCCACCCCTGCCCGCTGTGCAGCCGTGTGCGTTGGCGTGTGTTTCTGTGTTGCTGGCGTGTCACGTGACGTAGCCGTGTTTGCTGACATGAGCCCCTGCCCCGTCTGTTTCTCTGTTGGTTTCTAGAGCTCTCTCCCTCCCTTCTCCAGAGGGGACAGGACTCCTGGGGCCTGGCTGGGGGCCCAGAGCCAGGTCGCCCTCTCCTGTCAGCCCTCAGAGCCCCATTTCTATTGGTGATCAAGTTGCAAATGGATAAAACACAGGAAAATTCTGCCCCTCCCAGCCCTGCATGTCCTGTCCCCAGAACCCCCCACCCCCACCCCGGGCCGGTGGGCCCCGTGGGACGGGAGAAATAGCAACCAATCCAACAGCGGGCGTGCCGTGTGCTCACTTCCTTCTGTCCTCACCCGGGACAGGGGCGCCGTGGGGAGGGGGAGATGTGTGTGGGGAGGGGTGGGGAGCTGGACAGACCAGTGGACACAAGCTTGGACAAGGATTTTAATCCAGGGCATGGCCAGGTACAGCATTCCCGGGGCACCCTCAGCAGAGCACTAACACGATGGCAGGAACTGAATGTGGGTGGAGGGGTGAGATGTAGTAAAAATGTACTGATTTCCTCAGCCTTTGTTGAGGGGAATTCAAAGATAAATGTCTAAAGGTGATACATTTTTTAAAACAATGGGAATATAACTCCCCAAGGAGGGACGAAGGTTGTGGAGGAGCCAGAGAAGCCTCTCCACTCTGACCCTGGGCCTGAAGATCTGCCCGGATGGCTGGAGACCAGCGTGGGGCCTGTGGAGCCTCTGCCTGCTTCCAGCTGGAAAAGCCCCAGCGGGACAGGCAGTTGGGACCATCCAGGTGGCAGAACCCAGGTTGAGAGTGAAGTCACTCCGGTCCCAATCCCCTGCCCTAGAACTTGGAGGCATCAGGACCCAATGCAGACCCAGGGCTTGTGGACTTAAAGCGTGGTGGGCTCCAGACAGCCGGTCTGGTGCCAGAGCCCTGCCTCCAGCTCTGGACTACAGTCATCCCTCCCAGCCAGGGGTGTGGGCCGGGGCCTGGGTGGAGGCACTGGATGGGTCTCCAGGCCCCGGCCCTACATCACTGGGCTGAGCCCTCCGTGGCCTTCACCCAGAGAATGGTGCGGGTCCGGCTGTCCTCCCATGAGAACAGGGGCTCATAGCCAAAATGGCGCTGAGCCTTGTTGGTGCTGACGGTGAAGGTGGTGTTGGCCACAGCCAGTGTGTAGGGGTTCAGCAGGGGCGCGTAGAGCAGCAGCGGCCGCAGCAGCCACTGCAGCAGGGCGTTGAGTGCAGCCAGGAGCACCAGCAGCCAGTAGGGCAACAGCGGGCGGGTGCCCACCAGCCGCAGTCCACAGGGGCCCAGGAACTCCATGTTGAAATCCTCGTAGCTCTTGTAGGGTGATGCATCATAGCAGAAGTACACCTGGCCACCCATCAGTGCCGCCCGCTGCTTCATCTCCCGGGCCACCAGCACGTGCATCCAGGCCACGTTGCCTGTCCATGGGGGAAGGGAGTGGACATGTCCCTGAGAACCCTTGTGACCATGCAGATGCTGCCCACATCTCCACTATGGCCTGGTAAAGGTTGCTTTTCCCCCAGCCCCTATAGCCACTTGCTGTCCTGGGCCAGCCTACACAGATGCTACTCCTTCTTTTGGTCCTGTGTAGAAGCTGCCCCCTCTTCTCCTGGGGAGATGCTGCTCCCACAGCTGCAATCCTCTCCTGGACTTGTGACATGCATTTTGTCAGCCTTCCTAACTTGCATGGATACTGTTTCCCCCGTGCCCGCACAGACAGTGCCCACCTTGGCTCATGAACAGACCATCCTTTTCCAGCCAGGTGCACACAGCCCTCGCAGAACCACATGGGTCCCACCCCCTTCTAGAGCAGGTCCTCCTGCCCTGGTCTTAGAACCTCTCCCTGCCTGTCCCAGTTCTCACCCACATAGACCCGGCCGTGCTCCACAGAGGCCGGGACAGCCCGGAAGAGCCGGCCCCCCAGGCGCAGGCCCTGGCGGTAGAAGTCCCTCATGATCTGGTGGCCTTCACCGTAGATGCCCGTGGGACGCAGGGCACATGTCACCAGGGGCAGCCCCCCGCGGACCTGGTGGCAAAAGGCAGGCATTGCTAATACCCAGACCGGGTGGTTTGCTCTCTGGCCTGGCCTCATCAGGCTGGAGATGGAAGGGAGGCGCCTGGAGCAGGTTGCAAATACTCTCCTGTGCCTGGCAGTGGCACCCAAGGCCCTCTCTGCTCTCACCTTCCTTCCATTGGCCTCCAGGACCAGCCGCTCAGCCAGGGCCTTGCTGCGAGGATAAGGGTGCTTGTGTATTGCTTCATACGGGGTGTCCTCATTGCCCCTAGGGAGAGAGAGGAAAGACTTAATGCTGATGGGAAATGGGCTGTTAAAACATTGGGAGACCTCAGCTCACCTGTAGAAGGGGTGGCCTTTGGTGTTAGGCCCCACAACTTCCATGCTGCTGGTGTAGACCAGGAACTGTGTTCCAGTCTGTACACAAGCCTCGATCACGTTCTGTGTACCTGGGAGAAGTGGGGTGGATCCAAGCTGAGGTTTCCTCCCTCTCCACATCCTTCCCCTCCCCATCTTAGGTCCAGGGAAACCACAGTGGGTCAGGTGGTAGCAGCAGGGCTGTCAACAGGACAGGTTGTCACACAGGAATCACAAAAGGTCATGGTCAAAGAGGGGGTGGGGAACAAACAGACGAGATCAGGCCATGCCTCAGGGACTGGGAAGTGTGATTAGAACTGGGAGGGCCCTCACCCTGCACGTTGACCTCATGGATGGTCTTGGGACTGGCCCTCCCAAACACGTCCACGAGCCCAGCTGTGTGGATGACCACATGGGCTCCGGCCACAGCTGCTGTCACCTCTTGGGCCTGGGTCACATCCCCCTGGATGGCAGTCACCTGCACGGGCCCTGGTGGGGTACGGGGGAGGCCAGAGGCAATGTCAGAGCCAAGGCCAGCTGCTGGGTTCCGCCTGCACCCTCGGGAGCCACATGTTCCCAGTGTGACTCATTCGTCCCATCCATGTGGACTGGAGAACATAAACAGGCATCAGCTTTTCTACCACAGGGGTGGGGATCCTGGCTTGGGAGGGGATGAGGAAGGGGATCCATGCCTTCTTCCCTCCGCAATCACCTGTCTTCAGGTCCTCCAGCCAGGGACCCAAGTGTAGGTCAAAGACCCGGATCTCATGGAGCCGGGGCTCCCGCTGCAACAGCATTCGCACCACATGCTCCCCCAAGAAGCCACAGCCGCCTGTGACCAGGTACACCAACTTCTGGGCCTGGGCAGAGTCTGCCATGCCTGGCTGAGGAAGAGACCTTGCCTCACTTGAGTTGCCTGCTGCCACCTGCCCCAGTCACCTGTCCTCCCAGACAGGGCCTGCTGGCCTGGCGACAGGAGTACAGTGACGTTGGGGCGAGGAGGCAGAGCTCTCCAAGGCTGCTGCCGTAGGTGCAGGAGCCAGGCCTGACCCTGTTACTTGCTGAGTTCCTAAGAGGGGTAAGGGCTGGGGCTGAGGGAAGTGGTCAAGGTTTGAGGTGGATGGGGAGAGAAGTTTCAGGGCAAAAATGGAAGGTGGGAAGGCAGGAAGGTGGAGGTCGGGAGGAAGGTATAGGAAAGTGGGAAGGTCTGCCTTTGTCCCTCGGATCACCTCTGCCTACCTGCAGCCACTGTCCCAGGGTGCCTCAACTGGCCACCAGACGGTCAGTTTTCTTTTGTCGCCTGGGCCCGCCAGCCAGCAACACACCATCCCACTTCCGCTTGCTCCTCCTCCTCCTCCCTCCTGGCCCATTCCAGGAACAGACCAGCCCAGCTGCCACCCCCTCCACCCCCACACTTGCCATGGGGTGCCCCCTGGTGGCCACTCTGCCTCTATGGCATCAGGTTCCAGCAAAGAACCTGGAAGACGAAAAAGCCAGAACTGCTGGATGGGCGCTGAGGGGTTTGGGCCCATGGGATGGAGCCTGCAGGGTGACCTCGTTCCCACTGCCTGACCCCAGTCCCTCCCTCCTGCTGGAGCTCCAGCAGCAGCTGCGGTTCTGGAGAGGCAGACAGGCCTGACCTTGGCTCGGCTCTGGCAGGCATTGGGGGGGATTTCTGGCATAGCTGGGGCAGCCTGTTAGGTGGCCCAAAGCAATGGCGCTGGGTCTGTGGGTCTAGGCTGTTGCCCGAAAGCCCCTTTCCACAACCCAAACTTCAGACCACCCATTTCCCCCTCTTCATCTTGCCCCACCCTCTGTATCCCCAACCCCCATCCCTCCCTGCTCTTCCCCAGAGATATGGACCAAGTACTTTTGTACAATAAAGTTTAATCACAATTATAAAAATGTGGCATTGGGTTTGCTCTATTAACATATGTACAATCCAGCCCAACAGGAAGGGCCCACCCCCCACCATCCTGGCCTGGCTGAGCCACAGCCGCCAGACACCAGGGTGGAAGGGTGACCCACAGGGTCTGGCAGGAACAGAAGACGAGGCAGGGTTCCAGGCACAGAGTCCCCAGGACTGGGGGTGCAGGGCCCCCCCCAGGGGAGAACATGGCCACTGCCCCGAGAGACCCCTAAACTGGGGAGGGGTGCACGTGGGGCACAAGGGAAAGTCCCCATTAACACAAAGCGAGAGGGCTATGCAGCCCCCACAAGAACAGGATCTGTACAGGCCGGCACCCCAGGTTTCCACAGGAAACAGCTGCTGGCAGCTACAAAACATTTACAGCTTCTTCTCCGCAAAGAAAAAAAATTAGGAGGTGGGTTGGCAGGGGCGACAAGGGAGGCAGAAGCTGCCTCAAGGGACTGAGGCTCCCTCACTGGGCTCAGGGCCCCCCAAACCCACACTGGGAGATGGGGGCATGTGCGCCCTGCTGAGCCCACTAAGGCTGGGGGTGCTGGGAGCTCAGGGCACCAAGGGGGAATAAATAGGGGTGTGGGCACCAGTCCTGCCCACCTCAGTTGAGGGAGCCACGGCAGCTCTCGGTGCCGCACAGACACGGAATCTTGTTGTCCTCCAGTGGGAACTTGTAGTCGTAGGTGATCTCCTCGTCCACGCCAATGGGCTGCTTGGAGTAAATCACGATCTTCTTCTGCGACTCAATGGTGATCACCTTGGCATAACAGTTGGGCTGTAGCGGGGAGGGCAATGTGAGCCATGGCCCACCTTCCCCTCGCCCATCCCCCGCCCAGCTTCCAGCTCCCAGCGCACCGTGCAGCAGTGGTTGATGAACCTCGCCAGGTTGCCACACTTGGTGGCATCGATGATGGTGTCATGGTCCACCCGGAACAGGTAGCTGCTGCCTATGCCCTCCTGCACGTAGCGCTTCTCCCGCATGTCGGCCACCATCTGGGACGGTGGGATGCAGACGGTTGCAGACCTGCCCCTTGACCTCCTACTGGACCAGGCCTGAGGCCACCAGCCCCTCTAGACAGTCCATCAGCCACCACCCCAGTGCTCCGCATCAGCCAGGTCTGGACCTGTGTTTCTGATTCCGGCTCCCACGAACCCAAGGCCTTGTGATATGCCCTTGACTTTGCTTCCAGGAGCCCTCCCTCTTCTGGCCACCCAGCCTAAACCCTGGCTGCCATTCTGACTAAGTCACCACATGAGGACCCCAGGGAAGTCTGCACTGATGCACCAGGCAGAAGGGCCGCCAGGTCCTCCAGGAGCATCTGCCTGGTCATGATGGTGCCCCCAGACTGCTGTGGGGCTAGCAGGGGCGGCTTCTGAAACGTCAATAGCCATTTCGTGGTCTCACCCTACTCATCTCTTCTCTTCCAAACAAGCATCAGCCAGCTGCCGCTGGCCAGTGCAAAAGACAGACTGTTCACGTTAGGGCCCGTGTCCTTGTGTGAGAAGGACAGTGAGATCTCTGCACTCTCTTTTGGTGACCTCACTTCCTTTCAGAGCTTCAACTGCCAGTTAAGTGGTGGGGACTCCTCCCAAACTTCCATCACCAGCCAAAATCCACCTTGGTGGAGCTGCTGGGCGTCCTCCCCTTGATGTCCCTGGGGCCCCACCTCACATGTCCAGCTTGGCCCTCATCTTGATCATACATCTGTCCCTGCTCCCATCTCCCCGGCAGCTAGTGGCAGCGTCCTGAGAAAGGGCCCTACCACCTCCTTGCCCTCCCCTCCACAACCAACTCCCCAGAACCCACAGGCTCCTGTCATCATCACTGCCTAGTCCAGGCCCCACTCGCCTTGGCCTGGGTCTCTGCCACAGCCCCCACACGGGTGGCAGCCTAGACTAGCTCTCCCTTCACACTACGGCCACAGGGAGTTTGCTCTCCTGCTTCACGCTTGCCAGGTGTTCCTCCTGTCTCCCCACAGGCCCAAACTCATTCAGGGGACGCCCAAGCTCTGTGCAGTCAGTGCTCCACCTGCCCCCCAGCCTCACATCAGTGCCGCTGGCGCTACTTTTCCCAAATAGCCGCACCAATCTCCTTGCCCTCACATGACCGCATCCCCCCAGGCCCTGGCACATGCTGACCCGCACCCAGCAGCACGTGCCCCTCACCCAGGCCTGGAGCTCCTCAACCTCTCTCAGCATTTGCTCAAACATCACTGTCTCAGGGAGGCCTGGGGTCCCTGCTCCCCCACACCTGCCTCCCCAAATTTCTCCTCTAATACCAAACACCATCCTCTACTGTTATCACTTTTCTTTCTTTCTTTTTTTTTTTTTTAAAGATGACCAGTAAGAGGATCTTAACCCTTGACTTGGTGTTGTCAGCACCACGCTCTTCCAAGTGAGCTAACCAGCCATCCCTATATAGGGATCCGAACCCTTGGCCTTGGTGTTATCAGCACCACACTCTCCCAAGTGAGCCACGGGCTGGCCCTGTCGTCACTTTTCAATGCCTGTTTTCCCCACTTCCCCAGGTCCTTAAAGGGGGTGGCAATATCAGCTTCGTTTCCTGCTGGATCACTGTCTGCTTAATTGTACCTACAAGCGATTGCAGGAGGCTGGGAGGGAGGAAAGGAGGAGGGATGGCAAAAAGGACAAGGCAGCTCCACCGGCTAGTCTTGGAGCTGGAGGGTATATGAGGTTTTATCCAGAGGGCCAAGTGGTACACAGGCGAGCACCCTGCACTGGGGTCGTCAGATCGGGGCTGGGTGTGGAGCCTCACCTGGCGGATGTTCTGACCCACGTATTCAATGACCATCTCGTCGGCTGCAATGGGTTCCATCGCAAACAGACCCCACTCGTGGATCCGGCTCCGGCCAAATCGGAGCTTCTTCTTCCGGAACTGGGGGGCAGAACAGACTGTCCAGCTGGATGCCGCCCACGACCTAGCCCCTTGCCTTTCCTGCAGACCTCCCAGAACGGGGGTGTATTGGCCACTCACCCCGACCTCCACCCAAGGGGACCCCTGGAGCCAGCACAGGCAGCTGCACTCTTCAACCTCTGCAGAACTCCTCACCTTGAGCTGGTTTAGCTTCAGCAGGTCGCTATCCATGATGGCCGAGGTGCCGATGGCGCTCAGCAGCCGCCGCTGCTCAGACCGGCGCTCCGAAAGCACGCGGTTAGTGCCCTGTGAGACACAGAACAGGGAGGAGGTGAGGGACCAGAGAAGTATGGGAGGCAGCTGCGGTGGCCAGGATCAGGGCAGGCCCCACCTGAGTATCTGCTCCCTCCAGCTGCCGGGCTGAGACAGGGCACACGTCCAGGTACTTGTCCTTCTCCTTCTTGCTGATAGGGTAGTAGCCCTCGCTGCGGGCTGAGCCTGTCTGGTGCTCTCGGGGCCCATCCTGGGGCCGCCGCTTGCGTTTTGGAGTGCTCAGGTTGGTGAGTGCAGGGCGTTAAGGAAGAGAAGGGCTCCTCACTGCCAGATCCCCTGGCCCGCTCCTCTGCATCCACCCCAGTCCCAGCCCATGGAAAGGGCAGCTGCCTTAGCTGAGCATGATCAGTGTGAGGAAGATGAGGTGAGAGAATCAAGTCTCAGACCCCACCACTCCTGCCTGAAAAACTCTGTGAGGCTGAAAGAGGCAGGAGGCAGAGAGAGGCACGAGGCAGAGAGGAGTTGGCTTGGCAGCCAGAGAAACACCCAGGCTGAACGCGGCGTGGCAAGCTGAACAGTAGTGGGGTAGACAGATGCAGACACTAGGAATGACCCAAGGAGGACACCACCTGGCTGTGACCCCAAGGAAGGCCACCCCCACCCCCGGGCCCACGTCCTCCTGTCCTGTGCAGGCGACCACTGCAGCACAGGATATTGGTGTGATGGACCCAGTGGGTGTCGTTGAGCCAGTCAGCCCCGCTAGTCTGCTGTAGCAGCCGCTCGTACGTGAGCCGCAGGTAGCCCATGTCTTCCAAGTCCAGACCCGAGTTCCAAATGTCATACAGGATGGTCATCTGCTCAAACTCGCTGCGAGGCTCGTAGGTGGGTGGTGGCGGTGGCGGGGGCAGGGGTGGCCTACGGCGCCGGGTGTGGGAGCGGAGGCTGCGGCGCCGGACGGCCCCCTCCCCATCACTGCTGCTGCTGCTGCTGCTCTCAGAGGACTCGGACTCCTCCTCCTCATCCTCTTCCTCCTCCCTGTCCTCTGGCCGCTGCTGCAGCTGCTGCGGCTGCTTGGGCTCTTCCGCCTCAGACACCACCACCTCAGGGGCCTCGAGGACCTCGTCTGCTGGGGAGCTGAAGAGCGCCGCAGGGGCAGGAACTGGTTCTGGGGGCCGCGGGGCCTGCGTGGAAGGTGCGGGCTTGACAGCCAGGGCATAGTTATGCTCCAGGAGGATGTGGCTGAGCAGCGGGCTGGGGCGGTCTGCCTCGTCTGACGTCTCTGTGGCCTCTGAATCGTTGACAGCAGGCAGGGCAGCCAGCCCACGCCGGGCTGGGGTCAGGGCCAGATCAGCCAGTACTGCCAGGTCCACTTCTGTCCCTGGCTCAGCCTCTTCTTCCTCAGTGCAGCGGCCTCGGCCTCCAGCCCGACCCCGGCCTCCTCGCGTCACCTCCTCGGGCCAGCTCTTGACCAGAGATGCATGATCCAGGGGCAGGTTGCGAATGGTCCGCTCCACACCCCGGGGGACTTTGCGAGAGGCTGGGCCAGGAGACTTGGCCTGCGGCGGGGCAGCTGGGGCAGGGTCTGGGGCTGGCACCTCCTCCACGGCAGAGAAGGAGACAGTTTTCCGGCGCTTCTTGGGTGGGGGTAGAAGTGGGATAGGGGAAGAGGGGCGCTCATCAGGGCAGGGGGCGGGGGCTGGAGGCCCAGCTGGTAGCTCTGG